ACGATTGTGTCCCACTTGTTGTTGACTCTTCACAAAAAATTAAAATTTTATATCTTTATGTTTGAAGCTTGAAATGTGGCAACAGGTTGAAAAGTTCAAGGGGGCCGAATACTTTCGCAAGGCACTGTATGTCCAATTATAGTATTTTTTAAAGGCAGTATTGTGAAACTGATATTTTTGTTCAAGGTTATCATGCAATTAGAATCTCATTCTGGACCATCTCGAAAACACTCGTAGAGTGCATTAAAGCAATTTAATGTTCACGTTTTTCCAGCTGTTCTTTTCTGCAGGGGGTCGCCACAGCAATGAACTTTCTAGAAAGATTTTGCAATTGTTGCATGCCGGATTCCCTTCCTGACACAACCTGGGTTCGAACCTGCAGCCTCAGGATTACAAGACCAACACTGACCACTGAGCTACTGCAGCCCCCTTAAAATTCAATAAGAGTTAATGTGTTCACTTTAGTTGAAGATGTGTGCTTATTGTTTTGGAGAATATGTAGAGAAGCCCTTCTAATGTTCTAGGATGGTCTTTTACAGTCCATTTGGTTTTTCTGTCAAAAACTAATATTTTAACTAGATTCTTTTTATACCTTCTCTCCTCATGTTTTCTTCCCCTTTTCTCATCTAAGCCTAAAAGTATTCTGAAAAGGATAAGAGGCCGTGCTCTTAAAGAGCAGCAGCAACGTGCACTCCGCCCATCTGTCGGACGACTGTACGGACATATTCTTGTTGTATCTTGGCGCAATGATAATAAAGCTTATTTTGATTCTGATATGATGAGCTTAGAAAAGATTTCTTATTTGCCAAGACATGCCTTGACATGTTAAATGAATACATAAATGAATAGCCACAGCAGGAAACGGCAGGTAAGTGTCGTACCTCAAAAGCGACCCCCATAGGTCCATTCTTGACCAGTTCCAATATCATGGCCGTCTCACTGCAGCCTCCGTAAAATCCACCCACGTAGTTGTACTCTGCTGTGTACCTTCGGACGCAGTTTTGAGGAACACCACATGGCGTGTTCTTTGCGGTGTACGGAAAGCACGACTCCTCCACTATGCCAAAATCCTGAGCGTACTTCCCAATCAGGTATGGGAACCCTCCGTCACAGCCTTACAAAGGAGAGCAAAGAAGATTTCGGGTACAAAACTCACATTTTCATGCAAGATATTTGGAGATTTTATTCACTTTCTTACAAGAGAGTGTTATTGAGTCCAGGCTATTTTCTCTTTTTTGAAGCAAAAATGCATAAATCAGAGCATTTATTAAAAAAAATGAAAGCAGCAAGGACAGAGACTGAAAACCACTTTAACCCTGCTTATTTGATTACGGTCATACAGAAAAACTATATTTTGACAGGATTATCCTACAACACTGTCTGAATCAACCATTCGCATCTGTAACACCGTCTTCATTACTGCAGTATAAACTAAAAATACCAGGGTTGAGACAAATGAGTATTTTTGAGTGGCAATTTACCTTGAGAGTATTCAGAACAGGAGACCACTTGTTGTGGGCTGAGGACGGGAGTATCGGTGTTGTTTGTGAGGATTCGAACACGAGCTTCCAGCATTCCCATTGTGGCAAAAGAATAGCAGCTACCGCACGAGGCTGAAACGCATCAAATACACACAAGATGCACACTGGTGTGAAATAGAACAACAATATATGTGAAAAGTAACTCAGCTGAAACAAAAGCTAGAAGACCAGCAGCTCTGTTAACTTGAAAGACATTCCTTAAGAATGTACTGCAGAATTTAAAACTGAATATTTCTGTACTCCTGCCACAGTCTCTTGATCCACCACAGACAAAGCATTACAAAAGAGAAGGACACAAAGACAAACACAAAATAACAAAGGTGGTTAGCATACCTTGGATCAGACACCAGGTTCATAATAAAATGCTCTACAGGGCACGATATCGTAATTTTTGGACTATAAGCCGCTACTTTATCACACACTTTAAACACCGTGGCTCATACAATGCTGCTGATAATTTATGGATTTTAGTTTTATTTTTTGACGAGCTGACGAGTTTCATGTCACCAAAACATTTAGCCTCGTCACAACAGGTCACAGTGGGCCAATGTAATTTGCTTTTGTTGGTCAACTTGGGGCAGCACGGTGGCGCAACTGGTAGAGCTGCTGCCTCTCAGCGCGCAGGTCCCTGGTTCAAATCCTGGTTCGGGGGCCTTCCTGAGTAGAGTATGTATGTTCTCTCTGTGCATGTGTGGGTTTTCTCTGGGTACTCCAGTTTCCTCCCACAGACCAAAAAACATGCATGTTAGGCTGATTGGTAACTCTAAATTGTCTAGGTGTGAGTGAGAGAGTGAATGGTTGTTTGTCTCATTTGTGTCATCTGTGATGAACTTGCGATCCGTCCAGGGTGTACCCCGCCCCTCACATAGTGATTGGTGGACATGGGCACTGGCGACCCCCGTGACCCAAAATGGAAGAAGCGGGTAAAAGATAATGGATGGATGGATGGTCAACTGGGGGTGGGGTGCTTCGTTTCCCATCTCCCCATTCTCTCCTCCCCTCCCTCTTGCGCCCCCAGAGATGGGGGAGCAATGCGCAGAAATAAGATGAAGACGGCGATCAATGACTTTCTGGTAGGCTACTGTATTTTTTATTTATTTTCTTTAACCAGCCATGTTACAGGCTCTGTTCAGAAAAAAATAAAAATAAAATAAAACACCTACTGTATACATTTGTGTACGTTACGGTACGTATTGTAGCATTCTACGGTTTATTGTGGTTGAGCCATCGGTCACATGGCCTCTGGGAGGAATTATGGGTAGAATTTATGTTAATTGTTAATCATTTCAGTTAGCCGTTTAACAGTTTTAATTTTAGTGATCAGTCTGTTCTCGTTAGCCTAGCTTACATGTTCATTATGCGTTTGTTTTAGGATATTCAGTAAAGTAACCATGAGTGAGGGAGGTGGTTGTCATGAAGACCTGTGTGGGGTTCACTCTGTGTGTGTTGAACAGCAAGATAAAGTCTATAAAACACCATGTGGTGGTTGATTCTTGATCTACAACAAGAGCTGGACATCTCTCTCAGTAGCTGTGTGCTGCCACAATACAGTATTTAATTAAAAATATTAAAAATCTTTCTGTGTGAAAACCTAACGTTACAACGTGGACACCCGCAGCTTATAGACAAGTGTGGCCTATGTACGTACAATATTCTTTCTTTAATTTAGTGGGCACGACTTTTCAGGTGCGCTCAATAGTCCAGATATTACGGTAATGCACAGGGAGATTTAACTGCAGTAATGATTCAAAGACAGACATATGGGAGGTTATTTGGGTCCAAACATTTTGCTTTCTACAACAAATGGGGTGCAACGAGCTTTGAATGTAAGATTTAAACTACGCAGATGGAAAGTTCAGCGGTTGTAGTTTATGAAACGGTTCTAAATGTGATATTTCACCCACACGACACACGATTACTGCAGTTTCACAGAATCTGACGACTCAACTTAAAATCAAAAACACTCACAATGTGCTATATAAATAAATGTAGACTTGACTTTTTCCAAGACAACTCAGGAGTGCTTTTCACACACTTAAAACAGATGGTTCACTTCAAAAAGGAACGTGGACAGATGCTCGATACAAAACATAAATAAATCAGCAGAGTACAAGCCCACTGATCCAGATCAATTACACGGCAATATCACATGTATGTCGTTTAATATTCCATCACAAGAAAATAAAATCTGTGCATTAAAAAGACTGCTGATTGTTTTACTGCAACTCCTGATCACTGCTTCAACTGTTTCTTCCATTTCACCCCTCCTGTCTGTTTTACATCTTCGAGTCTCGCAGGCAGTGGATAATTTCATTGGGAGCCCTCCTGCAGCCCATCACACAGGCTCAACCAACTCGTATCCGAGGCTGTTCTCATAAAATCCTTCAGTACAGAGTTGTTCGTTGATGATGAAATTCTAGGAAACTCTTAGACCATCTACCTTTTAAAAAAGGTATGATTTAATACTTGTGAAGCTTTTTTAATTTTACAAAGCCTGTTGACTCTGAGATGAAAAACTGACAAAAGTTTAAAAGGAGGACCTCAAGAGTTTTATAAGCAGACGAGGCAAGATCTGTCAGAAAGATAGAAATGTTCAAACAAAATAAGGAAGTCATCAACAAATCAAATGCTGGGCTGTGCAGAGATGTTGATACAGATATACTCATCTCCCACCCAAGGTAATGATGCTCTAAATATATATATTTGGAAGAATGGACAAAAATTCAGACTCCTCTGCTGCTACAGAGTGAAGCTTTCCTGCTTGAGATTTATTCTCACAAGAAGAAATACTCCAGAGTGGTTTATTTGGAGCACAAAGGAGGCAGCTGTATGATGCACAGTGGAAACGTCTGCTTTGTTTACAGCACATGGAGAAAGATAAAAAGACGGATGATCTTCTCCGTTCATCTGTGTTTATGAATGTTGTCGTTTTCATGTCAACATTAGATATATTCTGCACCTATATGAAATTCTGAACAAGATAAGGGGATGGGGTGGTTGTACAAACAGATGTTATCAGCATGCACAAATCGCTCGCAGTAACTGAGATATTACTGTGCGTCTGGCTTTATAAATCAACACAAGAAGCCCTCACAGTGGAAAGTTGTGCATACGGATTTTCTGTACGTGCAAAAATTTCAAATCTGCGGTGGCTGTGTGAGAACAGCTTCAAAATGTTTAACAGACAATGAAAATATGTTGTTACACTATAGTCCAACAGTGTGCAACCTATGCCTCCACTGCAGTGGCTTTTTGTAACTTTGACCCAAAATAACATGAACCTGAGTGACGCTTTATTCAAAGTGACAAATGGAAAGTGTACTTTTAGAAGATGATCTCTTTTGTTTTTACAATGAAGATGAAATTTAAGCAGTACAATGACACCAATAATGCAAGTAGGCTGGCCTCCCAGTGTGAACAGTTGTTTTTTTTAAATGTTTTTTATAGCATTTCCCCACTCCATTATCCAAGGAGGGTGCCCATCCTGTCAACAGAACAACGGGCCCTGCCTTTTCTTTAATACAGTAGTCCCTTGATACTTAACGGTTCGACTTTCGCGGACTCGCTCTTTCATGGTTTTTTTTTTTATGATTGTCAACCTTAATATTTCTCACGTGATTGGGACGTTACAGCAAAAAAAGTTTACGAAAATAAAACTTTAGAAAGGCACCGCCTTTTTGTAGTGTTCTTTCAATAAGCCTCGTCATTCCCCAATCTGTTACGGAAGCACGTTCCGTAGCGTCAGCTCATTTGCGTATGCACTAAAAGTAATACTTCCGGGTCACACGGATCGCCTTTGAGTATGCAAGATTAAGGACAATGCACTGGAAATATCCTGTAAGCTGATTTAATACAACACATATTAAAATATATACATTTATGAAACATACCATATTTATTAATATTACTTAAAATGTCTCTTTATATAATAATTTTAACAGAAATACATGTGCCATAAATTAGCAACAAGAAGATCGTACTTTTCTAAGTAAATTGGTACATTTTCTTTAATATATATATATATATATATATATATATATATTTTTTTTTTTTTTTTTCTTT